TTCGCGTATGCGCAAGTTTTTTAACTATCCTCACCAAGGCACCAAGGACCAAAGTAGGAGTTAACAAATTTTTGGAAATATCTGTTACAGTATTTAAGACTTGAAGAGACATTTTTTGTCAGCGATCCTTTTCAGAAAGGGGACTTGTCTACATCACATTGCCAACAAATCTCGGCGATTTCTTCAATGTTTACACCTATATAACTGGTGCCTACAAAAGTATAAAATAAAAATCAATAGTTTAAGGATACTGACAGCTTCTATCCATGTGGCTCTTCCTGGGAATAAGTTTAGACCTTAAAATTTGCATAATTAGCATGATTTTGTGTACAATTTTGAATATTTTTTTGGATTCCCCACTCTCTGAGAAAATTTACTACCCACCGCTCTTCGAAAAGTTTTTGGGGGCAGATACACTAACACAAAAAATTATCTCTGGCCGATGATCACCGCCTCCCTAAGAAAGTTTTCTGTGGGCAGCAGTGTTTCTGACGTTTAATTTCTAATATGGAATAATATCGATAAATGGCGGAACGTGAGATATGTGAGCAAAGGCTCCTTTTGGTTAATTTAAGGTGGTAGCTGCGTTTGGTCACAATTTATAGACATGTCTGGAATTTTTGCATACTCAGACTATTATGTTACTGTATTGACGCATGCTTCTATGAAGTTTGGACGCAATTTACCGTACATTTCTTGAGTTCTTGAGTCATCTACGAGTACATAACAATGGTTTCCTTGAAGCTCGAGATATCTCGGTTTTATGAATATTTAGTAGCATCATCAATAATATGAATTGATCTAGAATCCTATCTTGTACATTCGTAAGTTTGGAACATATTGCTAAAGTAACTTCAGAACGAATGCACCAATTTTGTTTTTTATTGTATTAAAAACTGGCTAAAAGCCGCTAAGTTGCTAATAGTGGACCGAAACTTCGTGAAACCGTGTTGATAAATAGAAATGCAATTTTTTGCATACTGGTAGATACGATCATACAAAATCATGTCAAGAAGCTTAGCAAAATTGTTCAAAATGGATATTCCCCTGTAGTTAGTGATGATATTGGAAGCTTGACTTTTGAATATAGGGCATATTTTAGCAATTTTAAACGAAAAAACGGAAGTGTTCAGGATCAAATTAAACAATACTTTAAGTGGCCTTGCTAGTACTGCTATGCAGTCTTTAAGAAAGAAAGATGGAATTTGATCTGGCCCAGAAGTGAACTTGTTTTTTAATTTTCGTCCAACTTTTAGAATTTCGCGCTCAGTTATCGCTACGCAGGTAATATCCAAAAGATCGCATCCTTGAAAGTCAAAACTAAGTTGTTCATCAGTAATATCAGGTACAGAGTAAACACTCTCAAAAAACTTAGCGAAAGCATTACTGATATGTTTAGGATCATTTAACATTTCATTTCCATCAGACATTTGTCCAGAAATCCTAGAAGTATTATTTTTTAATGCATGAACGCCCAAAATGATTTCGGTTCATGTTTTAACTGATTTTGAATTTGACCGGACCTTATGCTTCCTGATTGATTGTATAAAAGTGGATGCTAGAAAAGAAATAAACAATATGGAGGATTTAAGGCCAGGCTATCTAGATAACTAGCAACAAATACACCAATTTGAAATTGGGAAAAATTGAATTTCAAGCAGACATTACTGTTTTGTTACTAAACTAAATCGTGTAATATTCCGCCTAGGGCCGTAAAAGTTAAATAGTAATAACTAAGGTCGGGTACAGGTCTCCAGACGGTCATGGCGCCATGACCCCCCAGTACGCTTCAGTCGTCAGACAGCCCCCTCTCCCCCTTCGTGATGATGAATCTCGTCCCAGCCACCACTTTCTAAATATCATCATAAATGCGCAACTATGGCTAATGACACCCTGACTCAATGGCTGGATCCGCACGGGTATTATGTAAAAAAACATAAAAACGTAAAAAACGCGACACAATGTCATTGCAGACTAGTTAATTTTTAGGGTGCAAATAGGTCATTCCACGTTTGCTGGCTATGATCGCTGTGAGCGTCCATCTACTGTGGAATGGCTCAACTACACGCATTGTTGGTTGCAGGAAGTAAGTATATGTTTTGTGAAGCCGAGTAGTCGGTAGTTCTTATTTCTGAGAAGATTTGAAAGAAAGTTGGTCTGCATGTGTATAAAAAGAGTGAAATTTGCTATGTAAAAAAATATTAATGAATATGCTGCCAATAAAGTATATCTATTAGCTGTGCCCGTCGGGTTATTTATATGTTGTCCTTTCTGAAGACAGGTTATGTTCTAAATTACGATTTTCCCGTTTTCTTTTCGTGTTTTAAAAAAATTTGAGGGGCATTACGGGAAATCTCCAGCGCGCTCGCGTAGTGTGCAATTAAGCCACATCACAGAAAAATGGAATGATGAATCGCACATAAAACATTTTCGCAGTGCCTCACATCTAGGCGCTGATTTTATTTTCTACTGACATCGCAAAATAAATTTCTATAAAATTTAAATGACTGGAAATAAAAAATAATGTAACAATCTTTTCACTTTCATAAATATTCCTTCCTTTAGCATATTTTCTCACCTCTTATGTCAGAAAAAAACCGACCTAATGTCACTTTTCAATATACGCAATACCCGAACCACACTTGTTCTTAATTAATGTACAGTGGACCTCCGGTAATCCGACAAACATTATGCAGGGCAGTGTCGGACTATCGAATTTGTCGGATTATAGAGCACTGCCTAAGACCCCCTATAGTCCGGAATTGTTTACACAAGAGTACCTTGTAATCCGACAAATTACATATCCAATGGTAAGATTATATATGTTATGGATATGTATTTACTTTGAAGTACAAATCATACATAGTTTATGTATGTCGAATTTAGTAAGTTAAATAACAATAGAGAGCTTATGCACATACATATGAACCAAAATAATCAAGAATTATTAATCAAAATCATTAATGAATTTATCAAATTATGAAGCTTGGAAATATTCATCATTTTTTTTTGCTTAAGGTTGTTATAACGTGAGATCAGAGCTTTGTCCCTCAGTCTTTTCAAAAGTAAAAGTTCGTTGTAGTATGTACCATCCTCTTCAGCCCATTGTAAACCTGGCTCAAAGGCGTTAATTGCGTCTTGTGCTGTGACTTGTGGAGCAGTTGCAATCACGTCGTCGTTATTTTCCTGATTATTTGTTGTATAATTAGAAACCTCTTTCCAAGATTTCCAATTCTTCCGGACTTATCCGTGTTTCAGTAGCGACTTGTTCTATAACTTCCGAAGTAACACTGATATGTGGAACGTTGCTAGGAGTGGTGACTATATCTGGCTATAACTTTTTCCAAGTCGATTTAATAGTTGATGACGGTAACGCATTCCACGACTGACAAAGAGCAAAACCAAGTCCTTCATAATAAATTCTTTTAAAGTTTTTTCTATTGGTTGGTCTTTTGATATGGCTCTCAGAAGTAGGCTTTTCTTATAGTCTTGCTTGACAAACTGAATGATATTCTGGTCCATTGGTTGAATCAGTGCAGTAAAATTTGGCGGAAGAAACATTGTAGTGATTCTCATTTATCCTCAGTTGTTAGTTCTTCTTCAGACGGATGACCGGGAGAGTTACCAAGAAGCAACAACGCTTTTTGAGGAAAATTATGATCTTTTAACCATTTTCTGACTTCAGGTACGAAGCATTCATTAAACCACTTCTTGAAAAGGTCTTTTTTTGTCATCCATGCACTTTTTTGTCCGTAATAGTGTACAGGTAATGACCATCATCTTAAGCGCGTGTGTGCCCGCAGCGTTAGCACATGGTAGTATGGTTACACGCTCTTTACTTACTTTTCGTCCAGGTACGGATTTTTCGTTACAAGAAACGAAAGTTTTGTTAGGCATCACACGCCAAAAAAGCCCTGATTCGTCTGCATTGTACACCTGTGACAGGTCAAGATTTAAATCGTTCACCTTTTGCAAAAATCTTAATTTAAAGGGTTCTATGCAGGTGGCATCGTTAGAAAGTTGTTGGCCACAAAATCATCTTTTTTTTTGTTATTTCCTTATAAAAAAGCTTAGCTTTCATGGCCAACATGGGTCCTGAAATTGGTGCATGCCTATTTCTTTCCTGAAGAAACCACATGTACAAAGCTTCTTCCACTTCTGGATGTTCAGCTTTCTTGAGTGTCTGTCTCTTGCCTGGCCCGCAGTCAGTAGTTGACACGAACTTCTTGATCGTCTCGCGGTTTCTTTTAATGTCATAAATTGTAGACCGGCCTACGCCGTATTCACTTGCTAAACTACTGAAAGTTTCATTGCGATTTAAGCGGTCTAAAATATCACATTTTTCTTTAATTGTCAATGTTTTGTGCTTTCGCTTCTGAGTTTGTGATGACATTACTAGGTACTATACTTAATACACAATGAATAAATAGTAAACAATGAACGCACGCTAGGCCGTACCGCTATCAACAGTAGTCAAATTCAAACTAAGTAAAACAATGCTTAGGCGTCGAGCACGATAGCGGTTGCGCGTACAAGTTGTAACCTGTTTAAACCTGCGTGATCTACATTAGCGAAGATTATCAAATACGTATGTATGTAATACATATTCAAAGACATGTCGGATTACAGGGGGCGCCGGATTAGACAGGGGCCGGATTATCAGGGGTCCACTGTATATTAAATCCTTTGAATCTGGGTCTGGTGATAACTTACACTTTTTGATAATAGTTTCTATTTTCACAAAGTTATAGAAACCCCACTTCTTGTGGGTATTCTATGCTTTAAGAAAACAAAGGCTATCCTCAGAACAAATAACTATTTAAGCTTTAGACCCCTATGCGGAATATTACAAGATTTAGTTCAGTAATAAAAGAGATATGTCTTCTTGAAGGTGAATTGTTAGTACATTCAACATGGTTGCTACGTTGCCAGCTATCTAGGCAGACTGGTCTTGAGATTCGCTTGATATGACTATTGAGTAATATGAATATTCTTTCCAGGCATCCAGCCAGAGAGCCTTCGACGAATGGGTGAAGACCATCGCGATAGAGCTGATAAGGCAAACGCCCCTAGACGCGATCAAATACCTGGACATCTTGACCATTGCAGAATGCTGGAAAAGGAGAGACGATCTTCAAGAAAAAGACTGGAACTACAACGACTGCCCGTCGGATAAGACGAAAGCGAATGGCAACGACGATGCGATGGAAGAATGTGTCACCTGTCAAAGTGAGAGCGCAAAGACAGGCGTAGAGGAGATTTTCAGGAGGGAACCGCTTGTGATTAGAAATCGAGAGGTAAGGTTGTGGTTGTACGTGTATGCATTCATTCATTCCTCCTCAACTTCTGAAGTATGTGGAACAAATTATATTGATAATTCTCTGGACCTTGGTATGATTTGACAACTTTGGATAAGCGTCGAGTTTTAAAGCTTCGAGCCGAACTGAATTTTCAAAAATAAAAATTACATCTGCTTCATGATTTACAAAAAATTTTGGAAATTACTTCCTTCGGTATAATGCGCGGTTCAATTATTCTCCGCCGAACTTTGCAATTACACCAGGATCTGTAACTTGTGAACTACTGATATACAGGGTGTTCCTTAATGATATGCGAATATTTAAGTTTGTGAATCTACATGAAAAATTAATGTTAGTTTGCTTTATAAACTATGGTCCAAAAATGTTTCCTTACAGTTGCTGGTAAAGAAACATAGTTTATAAGCAAACTAACATTAATTTTTCATGTAGATTTACACCCTTAAATATTCGCATATCATTAAGGAGCTTCCTGTATGTAGGAATTTTGGTAACAGAGACATATCAACCAAAAAGTATTGGATACGAGTATTCATGAAAATTCTGAGCAGTTTGAAAAATTACTTTTTAATACTTTCCGCCCCAAATATTCATGTAACTTGTTTCAGTCACTGTGTCTGTCTGGTGACTCAGAATGCCAAGAATTTTAATCAAATTTAAAGAATCCTAGATTTTGGGCGGGCAAATCGATTCCGACGCTGTGAAGGTATGACCAAAAAGCAGGAGGTTTCAGATTATTCCCGTATGTATCTTTTACAACAAGCTTTTTAGCTTTTCAATCAGAATTTGGTATTGAAAAATTGTCAAACTTTATTTTTCGGGGATTTTAAATTATACCAAATGACATAGAAAGTGCAACACCGACTACGGGTGCTATGATTTTGAGCATACTTTTACAAGTTTGAAGTCTACTAATAAATAGACAGTGATTAGAATTTCATATTCGTTAAGACCTCCTGGCATTGATTGGATTAGGGGATTGATGTCTTTTTGGTGTCCATTTCAGGCCATCTGAATTTGGTTTCGCAGAGCCTCCAATGTTTGTAGAGGGTGCAGTGAATTTTGCAACTTTATTCCCTTCATGTCCCACACATGTTCGATGGGGGAAAGGTCTGGAGATCGAGGGGGCCACTAAAGCAGATTTTCACCGGACGCTTCTAAAAAGTCTAAACTAACACGTGCGACATGACGTGGTGCATTGTCCTACTGAAAAGGTGGATCTTGCAATGTTTCCAAAAAGGGAAACAGATGTGGTTGCACAACTGCGTGGATATAGCGCTGGGAAACCATGCTACCTCGAACGAATACTAATCGAGACCTGCTGCCATAAGCAGTGACTCCCCATACCACAACACCCACAGTGCGATGAATATGCCGTTCGATGGAATATTGGACGTCTTTCACCACGTTTTCTCCTTACTCTTGCACGGCCATCGTGTGTTCCCAAACAGAATCTGTTCTCATCACTGAACACGACTGAGTTCCATTCCATATTCCATTCGAGTCTCTCCCTACTCCATACCAATCATTGCTGACGATGCTGTGGGGTCAGAGGTAGTACAAGATGGGGACGGTCTCAAAACAGTCCAAAAGACCTTATTTGGCGATAAGCTGTCCTCTCAAACTCGGAAAGTGCGACTGCCAACTCTACGCATGATAGTGCAATGAAACAACAATGAAACAATTGGAACCAACACAGAAAAGCCAATGAATATTAGGTAAACATGTTCATATTGTTCGGATCCTGATATGACAAAAAAGCCTACTGACGCATACTGTCACGTGACGTCTGTTCAACCTCAGACACTCTTGGCCAGTCTCTCAGGTTTCACGTCTCTGTCGGTGTTGATTGTGTGGTTATACTGCGTTGTTTGTCACCATGACAATCAGAAAATCCGGCGAATATGAAATCCGCTCAGTAACTTTGTTTTTAAACGCAAAACAGTTCCTCCTTCTGAAATTCACCAGCAGCTTGTTGGCGATACCTGCTGTCTAGCGGCGTCGTTCTGCTTCACGGCAACGCTCGGCCTCACCTTGCGGCAAGAACGCAGACGCAACTGGACAAGTTCCTTTGGGAATTACTGGATCATCCACGTCGTGCCTTACACAGCACCATCAGTATATTATCTTTTTACAAATGCAAGGAATTTCTTGGTAGAAAGCGCGTATAAAAAGCTGGTGCAACGGCATAACAAATATTTAAATTTTCATTGTGACTATGTTGAAAAATAACAAAAAGTTATCATATTTCAATTTGTAATATTTCAATTTATGAATTTAGATTCATAAAAATCTCCATTACACAACGGTTCTTACTTGAAAAATAAATCCCGTAGATTGCAGGAGAAGCACTGAGTCGTTTTTTTTTCTTTCCAGGAGCGGATCCCAGCAATGCCTCCAGTGAGGACCCCAGAGAAAGTGTCTGAAGTCCCGGAAGACATAGAAGAGAAGCAAGTGGAAGACCTCATGAAGAAATGCCAAAACGCGGAGAACTACGTTCCGGTTAAAGAAAAACTCTTCCTATTCGAATCGCTATGCAAACTTGGAAGGAAAGTCCGAAGTACTGAAGATGTGTCTCTGAAAATAGACACGAGTTCGAAACGAGCCAGATCCCTACATGATCTGTCGAACATTAATTCGCATATTGCTGTTAGGGAAATTTGTAAATATTTCGAGAATAAGAACGAAACGCAAGAAAACACATCAGAGAATCAAGTGGTGTCGAAATTTAAGCTGAAACGAACCTTAGAGTGTAATAATGTGTATCATAGGTTTCCCAGAGCAATTTCATAGTATACCGGGGTTGTGTGAAAAATACTGGCATCTTCATGCAACGTAAAGACATGAACACTTAACTCAAACTTCGGGGCCTAAAAAACTCCGTGGTGATCCAGTTTCGGTAAGAAAAATGATGTTGCGCTGTCAAATAGGCAGCTTTACTCAATATTATATTTCTCATGTGTTAGGTGTCAGTATTTTTGTTTGTAATGTTCTCTTGCCAAAATTACTTCATTTAAATAAAATTTAATAAATATGACCAATCAAAATGGCTGAAATGTAGTAAGTTATATGCCATAATATTTTGATCAAATATCTTAACGAGCCCGAAGCTTCAAATAATGTCCCTTTTTTCGCTTTTTCCAACTACCTGTTTGCAACAGTATTCTAAATCCTTTTCATCTGATTACTTCATGATGTGTATAGAGTTGACTAAAAAACATCGTTTTTTTGTCATAAAATGCGTTTTTGTGAATTTTTTCTTCGGTCGTAACTTTTTAACAAATATTAACACAGCCCTGAAATTGTATGTGTATATTCCACTTCTACGGATGAATGAAACAAGTGACTGCTTTTATCATGATCACTTTTTTCTCTTCGAAAAATCTTTGCTTTTCTTGAAAACTCGACTTGGTGCGGGACGAGGCTTCAAGAAAATCAAAGATTTTTCGAAATGAAAGTGATAGGAACAAAAGTAATCACTTGTTTCATTCTTCCATAAAAGAGGAATATTCACACACAATTTCAGAACGTTACTTATATTTGTTAACAAGTTCTGATTGAAAAAAGCATGCGCAATAAAATGCACAAAAAATGCACCTTTGGACAAAAAAAAATGTAAACATTGTTTTTAAGTCATCTCTATACATACTATGAAAGTATCACATGAAAAAGATTTAGAATACTGCTACAAACAGGTAGTTGGAAAAAAATCAAAAAAAAGGAAGTGCCACCTCAACATCTTTCCAGCCATTATGACCGGACTTTTTAATTTCTTATGCTTGGCGTTCTATAAAATTTCAAAAGAGTGGAGCGCGATTATCTTAACTTTTATATATTTTTGTTCGTGCGATTGTGTGATCTAATCTTAAGCATTGTGATAGTCATGTATATGCGAATTGTCTTTGGATTTTCTACCATTTAATCATTTGCTGCTGGTGTTAATGTTTAACAAATTCTGAAATCAATAATAATATGTGTAATTGTTTCTGTTGGAATGATGTTAACGAACTGTTGTTGTTTAATTACATTGTGCCTTCAAATTTTTAGTTGCTGCATTCTTCCATTAGCGTGTTGATTGGTTTGTGCTATACTTTTGTTTCTTTTGATAACCGCTTCTAATTTGGCACCTGAATCTGCAAATGATTTTGCAGCAACAGAAACCCAATTATTTTTCATCAATTATCAGAACAAAATTGCTTGTTATTTATTTTGTACATACATAGTTCATATATTTCATGTTACATAATTTTTAATAAACAGTATTTATTTTTAAACTTGTTTTCCTTTATACCTCACCACTAATCTTGAGAATATGTGTCTGGCTTGACATCGTTTTTTTATTCAGGATCGCAGAGACGGTAATTTGAATTTCCCGCCATTTTTACATCAAGATCATATTACGCTTCTTATACCTCCTTGTGTTTCTGCTATCCTGATAGCAAACTTTACCGACGCAGTTTGGATTTGAAAAGAAATCTGCATTGATATACCGTTTTCAGATATTAGAAATTATGTATCAGGATCGCAGAGATACCGTATTTATTATCGGTACTCTGGATTTCCCGCCATTTTTATATCACGAGCTTATTACGTTTTCCATACCTCCTCGCAATTCTGACATCCTAGTGACCAATTGTATACACACATATAAGAGAATTTGAGCAAAAATCTGCCCTGATGTATGATTTTGAGGAACGAGAAATTTTGTAACAGGATCGCAGAAACAGCGAGAAGTATTCGTGTCGGTAATTTGAATTTCCCGCCATTTTCATATCAGGAGCATATTACGTTTTCCATACCTCCTCGCATTTCTGATATCCTGATAACAAATTGTATACACACATATAAGGAAATTTGAGTAAAAATCTGCCCTGATGTATGATTTTGAGGAACCAGAAATTTTGTATCAGGATCGCAGAAGCAGCGAGAGATATTTATGTCGGTAATTTGAATTTCCCGCCATTTTATGTCAGGAGCATATTACGTTTTCCATACCTCCTCGCATTTCTGATATCCTGATAAATTGTATACACACATATAAGGGAATTTGAGCAAAAATCTGCCCTGATGTATGATTTTGAGGAACCAGAAATTTTGTATCAGGATCGCAGAAACAGCGAGAGGTACTTGTGTCGGTAATTTGAATTTCCCGCCATTTTTATATCAGGAGCATATTACGCTTTCCATACCTCCTCGCATTTCTGATATCCTGATAGCAAATTTTATCCACACAGTCAAGAGAATTTGAGAAGAAATCTGCCCTGATGATTGAGGAACCACAAATTCTGAATCAGGATCGCAGAGACAGCGAGAGGTATTTCCATTATATCTGGAGCATATTACGTTTCCATACTTCCTCGCATTTATGATATCCTGATAGCAAATTGTATCCGCACAGTTAAAAGAATCTGAGAAGAAATCTACCCTGATGTATGATTTTGAGGAACCAGAAATTTTGTATCAGGACCGCAGAAACAGCGAGAGGTCACACCTTTTATGTCGGTAATTTGGATTTCCCGCCATTTTTATGTCAGGAGCATATTACGTTTTCCATACCTCCTCGCATTTCTGATATCCTAATGACAAATTGTATACACACATATAAGAGAATTTGAGCAAAAATCTGCCCTGATATATGATTTTGAGGAACCAGAAATTTTGTATCAAGATCGCAGAAACAGCGAGAGGTACTTGTGTCGGTAATTTGAATTTACCGCCATTTCTATATCAGGAGCACATTACGCTTTCCAAACCTCCTCGCATTTCTGTTACCCTGATAGCAATTTTCATTTACACAGCTGAGGGAATTCTAGAAGAAGGTTGCCCCGATGTAGGATTTTGAGGAACAAGAAATTTTGTATCAGGATCGCAGAAACAGCGAGAGGTATTTATGTCGGTAATTTGAATTTCCCGCCAATTTTATATCAGGAGCATATTACGTTTTCCATACCTCCTCGCATTTCTGATATCCTGATAACAAATTGTATACACACATATAAGGGAATTTGAGCAAAAATGTGCCCTGATGTATGATTTTGAGGAACCAGAAATTCTGTATCAGGATCGCAGAAACAGCGAGAGGTACTTGTGTCGGTAATTTGAATTTCCCGCCATTTTGTATCAGGAGCATATTACGTTTTCCATACCTCCTCGCATTTCTGATATCCTGATAGCAAATTTTATCCACACAGCTGAGGGAATTCGAGAAGGTTGCCCTGATGTAGGATTTTGAGGAACACAAAATTTTGTATCAGGAACGCAGAAACAGCGAGAGGTATTTATGTCGGTAATTTGAATTTACCTCCATTTTTATATCAGGAGCATATTACGTTTTCCATACCTCCTCGCATTTCTGATATCCTGATAGCAAATTTTATCCATACAGTCAAGAGAATTTGAGAAGAAATCTGCCCTGATGATTGAGGAACCACAAATTCTGAATCAGGATCGCAGAGACAGCGAGAGGTATTTCCATTATATCTGGAGCATATTACGTTTTCCATACTTCCTCGCATTTATGATATCCTGATAGCAATTTTCATTTACACAGCTGAGGGAATTCGAGAAGGTTGGCCTGTTGTAGGATTTTGAGGAACAAGAAATTTGTACCAGGATCGCAGAAACAGCGAGAGGTATTTATGTCGGTAGTTTGAATTTCCCGCCATTTTTATGTCAGGAGCATATTACGTTTTCCATACCTCCTCGCATTTCTGATATCCTGATAGCAAATTTTATCCACACAGCTGAGGGAATTCGAGAAGGTTGCCCTGATGTAGGATTTTGAGGAACACGAAATTTCGTATCAGGATCGCAGAAACAGCGAGAGGTATTTATGTCGCTAATTTGAATTTACCGCCATTTTATATCAGGAGCATATTACGTTTTCCATACCTCCTTGCATTTCTGTTACCCTGATAGCAATTTTCATTTACACAGCTGAGGGAATTCGAGAAGAAGGTTGCCCCGATGTAGGATTTTGAGGAACAAGAAATTTTGTATCAGGATCGCAGAAACAGCGAGAGGTATTTATGTCGGTAATTTGAATTTCCCGCCAATTTTATATCAGGAGCATATTACGTTTTCCATACCTCCTCGCATTTCTGATATCCTGATAACAAATTGTATACACACATATAAGGGAATTTGAGCAAAATCTGCCCTGATGTATGATTTTGAGGAACCAGAAATTTTGTATCAGGAACGCAGAAACAGCGAGAGGTACTTGTGTCGGTAATTTGAATTTCCGCCATTTTTATATCAGGAGCATATTACGTTTTCCATACCTCCTCGCATTTCTGATATCCTGATAGCAAATTTTATCCACACAGCTGAGGGAATTCGAGAAGGTTGCCCTGATGTAGGATTTTGAGGAACACAAAATTTTGTATCAGGAACGCAGAAACAGCGAGAGGTATTTATGTCGGTAATTTGAATTTACCTCCATTTTTATATCAGGAGCATATTACGTTTTCCATACCTCCTCGCATTTCTGATATCCTGATAGCAAATTTTATCCATACAGTCAAGAGAATTTGAGAAGAAATCTGCCCTGATGATTGAGGAACCACAAATTCTGAATCAGGATCGCAGAGACAGCGAGAGGTATTTCCATTATATCTGGAGCATATTACGTTTTCCATACTTCCTCGCATTTATGATATCCTGATAGCAATTTTCATTTACACAGCTGAGGGAATTCGAGAAGGTTGGCCTGTTGTAGGATTTTGAGGAACAAGAAAATTTGTACCAGGATCGCAGAAACAGCGAGAGGTATTTATGTCGGTAGTTTGAATTTCCCGCCATTTTTATGTCAGGAGCATATCCCTGATGATTGAGGAACCACAAATTCTGAATCAGGATCGCAGAAACAGCGAGAGGTATTTATGTCGCTAATTTGGATTTCCCGCCATTTTTATGTCAGGAGCATATTACGTTTTCCATACCTCCTCGCATTTCTGATATCCTGATAACAAATTGTATACACACATATAAGGGAATTTGAGCAAAAATCTGCCCTGATGTATGATTTTGAGGAACGAGAAATTTTGTAACAGGATCGCAGAAACAGCGAGAAGTATTTGTGTCGGTAATTTGAATTTCCCGCCATTTTTATATCAGGAGCATATTACGTTTTCCATACCTCCTCGCATTTCTGATATCCTAATGACAAATTGTATACACACATATAAGGGAATTTGAGCAAAAATCTGCCCTGATATATGATTTTGAGGAACCAGAAATTTTGTATCAAGATCGCAGAAACAG